CTTAGGTTGCATTGAACAGCGGGGTAGAATCAAGTTCACATGAAATCTTAGTTACGAAGCCTTGGGAAGGCCACACCTGGAATACGGCATCCAGTTTTGATCGCCACAATACAAAAAAGACATTGAGTTTCTACAAAGCGTGCAGAGAAGAGCAACAAAGATGATTAGGGGAGGCTAAAATATACGAAGAACTGTTGCAGGAATTGGGTATATCTAGTCTAATGAAAAGAAGGGCCAAGGGAGACACGAGAGCAGGCTTCCAATATCTGAGGAGCTGCCACAAAGAAGAGGGAGTCAAGCTATTCTCCAAAGCACCTGAGGGCAGGACAAGAAGCAACGGGTGGAAACTAATCAAGGAGAGAAGCAACTTGGAACTAAGGAGAAATTTCCTGACAGTGAGAAAAAATTAACCAGTGGAACGACTTGCCTTCAGAAGTCGTGAATGCTCCAACACTGGAAGTTTTTAAGAAGAGATTGGACAGCCATTTGTCTGAAATGGTATAAGGTCTGATGCTTGAACAGGGAGTTGGACTAGGAGATCTCCAATGTCTGTTCCAACTCCATTATTCTGCATATAAATCCATTAAACTGCACTATATAAAAGGAAGAAAGCCATTTTAGGAGTCACTTACCAAGCATAGCATATACGGAGAGTAAATCCATACCAGCAATCTTGTATTTTTAGATTTCTGCTGGAAAGCACGCTCGAATTCTTGGAAAATTATATTTTAATGGTACATCAAATCTTTCCGTTGCATTGTGAAAAAATTATTTTCTTTGAAAACAAGTGTCAGACTAAACAAAGACCTTTCACGTATGTGCAATTGAATGCTGTTGCACTTGGTAATTCATGCAAACTTTTCTTTAGCAAGGATTATAATATTTTATAGAACTACCATCTGTTGACGGAGGCCCTTGCTTTGTTTTCAACCATCACAGCTAATCCCCAACTTACAACCATTCATTTAGTGACCACCCAAAGTTACAATAGCATTGAAAAAATGACTTAACGACCACACTTGGCAACTGACTCATATTTATGATGGATGCAGTGTCCCAGGATCACATGGTCCCCTTTTGCAGCCTTCTGACAAACAAAGTCAATAGAGAAGCCACATTCATTTAAGAACTGCATTGCTAACTTAACAACTGCAGTGATTCACTGAGCAACTGCGGCAAGGAAGGTTGTAGACTGGGGTAAAACTCACTTAACAACTGTCTCAGCAACTGAAATGTTATGCTCAGTTGTGGTTATAAGTTGAGGACTAACCTGTATAACTTCCAGAATTTCTAATCCAGATAATCTCCTTTCTGAAAGGCATCTATTCTATGGATACTTGCCTGTAATGCAAATCTAGGATAGGGTAAAAAAAACCTACCAGTTTCAAGCCTTTTACTTTTAAACAATAAGGTGACTTCTTCAGTTTGAGAAAGCAGAAAGTCTGCACCTTCAGAAAATAGCCACGAAATTATGCTGAACGTTATTTGACCTATTGTTGTGGGCAGAACAACAAATGAGAGGCGTGCACACAGACCCACATATAAGCATTTCATGTAATGTACTATAACACTGACAAGCACCTTCTCATACGGCATGCAATTATTCTGAAAAATCCTTCATGTTTCTCTTGATATTTACCTAGATAATTCAACGTTTTTTGTGGCAGATGGGTGCATAAGACCGACATTGTTAATGAGGGAGACCCACCTGCTCATCAGTGAAACAGAAACTGGTTCTTAAGGTACAGAAAAACAAAAGGGATATTAAAAAGAAGGCAGATGTCTAGGAAGTCTGGTGCACAATTTCTGAACTGCTGCTGAACAGAAAAGCCAGCCACGCTTCAGAGAGAAGAGATCAAAAAACTTTCCATTCCATCAATCTATAAGTGATTCGACATATATTTTTTTCTTTATCTCTCCATTTCCCAACTGTTCATGAATCGTACAAAATAAGATAACTATAGAGCCTTTAGTGCTCCAAAACTTCCTTGTTCACACTCTTATCAGTTTCCTGATAATGCTACCTAGCTGGGTAATGAAATGTCTACAACTAGAACTGAGCTCAGAGTACCAAGGACACCAAGCTACAGAAGTTCTTTTCTATTAAAAATAAACAATATTGCACCGTCCTGGGGTCATAGGGTTGCCATTTGCAAACTTCCCAGGTGGCTTTTAATGCAGGAAGCTGTATTCATTCAAAGGCTGCATGATTCATTTAAAAACAGTGGCAAAAAGGCCATAAAATCAAGTGGGACTCACTTAACAGCTTCCTTGCTTAGCCACAGAAATTCTGGCCACAACTGTGGTCATTAAATTAAAGACTATCGATACAAGATACAATTGCTGAGTTATCAAAGATAGTTAAAACAATATTAAAATACTGAGTTAAAAACATAAATAGCTATTGACTGCTACAAAATACTTCTGGAGACTTAGTTTTGGCTACACAAGTTTGATTGTTGATATGTTTATTGTTGGCAGTAACGTGGCTAATACTTGATATACATGCCATGATGATTTAAGATATGTTTGCCATATTAGCTTGTATATTAGTGTATTTCCAGTAGAAGTATCCTGTCAGTAAAACATGCAATCTATATTGGTCATAAAAGGGAGCACTAAAATTAAAATGTGTCTGGGGAAGTTAATTATCATTGATTGATATTTGCTATTCTGTAAAGAGCTGTTACATTTTATTACCCATATAACAGACAATGAAAATGATCAGAGCAGCAATAACAATAACAGCATTTTAGATATCATTTTAAATCAACAATTGGGTTGCAGCGTTGCATAACCTATAAATGAATGGCCAGTCAGTTTGTCCTTTGCTGACTCCATTCAAAAATATTTCATTTCAGATCAAAAGATTATTCTTTTAGGCTCATTCCAAGATACAAGTCTTCTCGGGCAGCAATTGGCTGTGCCTAGTTTTCTTCCTGGCAATTTCTCTTTCATAGTTGTGCCTTTTCCCAAATGTATTTATTGATTTGCAAAATTTATTAGCTGTCCCTCTTACCATACCGCTACCACAAATAAATGCAAGAGAAGGACTCTGAGAATTATAATAAAATAATAAAATAATAATATATAATAATATAAATAATAATAAAATAACTAATAAACAATTTGGTTTCAGAAAAAAACTATCCTGCAATCTGCAACTCTTACACTGGAGAAATATATGGACTACACAACTCAATCAGGGCAAAGCAATACACGCAATCTACATAGACTTCTGTAAAGCCTTTGATTCAGTGGTACATGACAAACTACTCCTAAAACTAAAATCTTATGGTATCTCTGGACACCTGCATAACTGGATAGAAGCATTCCTGTCAAACAGAGAACAAATGGTCAAAATTGGAAGCGTCCTATCAAATTCTGTACCTGTCAACAGTGGTGTCCCCCCAAGGCAGTGTTCTAGGACCAACTTTCTTCTTACTCTACATAAATGACCTCTGTGATCATATCAAGAGCAACTGCGTTCTCTTCACTGATGAAGTAAAGCTATTCAACACCACAGACAATACTGCTACCCTTCAAAAAGACCTTGACTATGTATCAGAATGGTCAAACAAATGGCAACTTCAAATCTCAACAAATAAATGCTCTGTCCTACATATTGGCAAAAAAAAAAATCAGAAAATAAAGTACAGGCTGAATAGTCAAGACCTTGTTGATGATCCAAACTCTGTCAAGGACCTTGGAGTACTCATCTCTAATGATCTAAGTGCTAGAGCCCACTGTAACTACATAGCCAAAAAGGCATTAAGAGTTGTTAACCTAATCCTGCGTAGCTTTTTCTGTAATATTTTTTAGTGTAATATTACACTAATAACTAGAGCATAGAAAACATTTGCTAGACCAATACTCAAATACAGCTCATCAGTCTGGAACCCACATTACGTATCTGATATTAACACAGTTGAGAAAGTCCAGAAATATTTCACAAGAAGAGTTCTCCACTCATCTACTCGTTGCAGAATAGCTTATGTCATCAGACTTGAAATTCTAGACCTAGAAAACCTAGAACTATGCTGCCTTTGATCCGATCTAAATATAGTATATAAAAACATACATTGCAATGTCCTACCTGTCAATCAATACTTCAGCTTCAACCATAACAACACTAGAGCAAACAATAGATACAAACTCAAGGTTAATCGCACCAAACTTGATTGCAGGAAATACAACTTCAGCAACAGAGTGGTCAATGTCTGGAATATTCTACCTGACTCTGTGGTTTCTTTCCCAAACCCCAAAAACTTTAACCTTAGACTTTCTACTATTGACCTCACCCTTTTCCTAAGAGGTCTGTAGGGGGCATGCATAAGCGCACCAATGTGCCTACTGTCCCTGTCCTATTGTTTCTTTTATTTTTCTTATATGTATCCATGTATTCATAACTATGTTTTTACTTATACCTATTATCTTGTAAGCAATTGACAAACCAAATAAATAAATAAATAAAAATAAAGAATTGAGAAGTTTTCTTGGAGTCAAAAGACTCAATGTAGAGAAATCTGGATTGTCTTTTTCATTGAAGATGAAAGGTATGGAAAATGTCATTTGAAACTGTGTAGAACTCAGGTGTCCAAAGGTGGTTGCAATAGTCACAGCTTGTGTCTTTCTGTATGAGAACTGTTCCTTGGTTAGGAGTGCCAGAGAGTCATAACTATGAGTCAGAAGCTGTTCAGAAATTAAGACATTTGAGAAAGTTCCAGGATTGTCAGCTTGATCCATGCTGAACTGAACAAAAGTAGCTCAGTTTTAGTTCAATGTTAGCCAGGAAATTATACTCTTAGCTTGATTACCAGATTCCCAATAGATCAATTAGAAACACGGTTTGTAACATCTTGCTGTCAAATTGACCAGAAACCTAATATGGTCAAAAATATATCAAATGTTTTTAACGTTAGATAACTCTTAGATAACTAAGGTAAATAAGATTCCCAGTATATGTTGCACCTTTTAATACTATGCTCAGAAGTCCTCGATTAAACATTGGAAATCTTGTCTTTATCAGGAAAGAGTTGACCATCTCTAAACTTATCCCTCATAGAAGATTCTGCCATTTTCAGGCCACGAATGGCCTTGTGGTCTCCATCTTCACCATCCTGCTCTCCTGAAATGCTCTGGTAGGAGGGAGGGATAGACTCCAATGATGATGTTTGAGACTCTTCCAGATTTCGGATATAAGTTTCATTCATCAAAAGGGCAATGAGACCTTCCTTTTCTGGAGCATCTTCTTCCAGGATGTCACCATCGCAGTTTTTGTGACGGTGTAAGAATGAGGCCTGCTTCATGGAACGTTGAAGCAAATGACTTCGAAAGGCCTTCTGAATGACCAGAGCTGAAGTTTCCTCATACTTGCGTCGGAGGGTGGTGGTGATTGGTTCATGTGAAGCCCTGGATGGGTTAGCAAGCATGAACTTCTCCTCCATCTGTTGCTTGAGTATGTCCATCTCTCCGGAGTCCCCCAGAACTCTTTTGGTGAAAGCAAAGAGAATGTCCAAGCAGTGGATTCTGTCTTCACTGACCATGGGAAGATCCATGGCGATCAACTCAAGTTTGTTTGGCTTGGGGATGCGCAAGGGATCCACTAAAGCGTGTGCAAAGTCAGAGAGCTCAGAATATGAAATAAATTGGGTTGCCTTGGGGTCAAACTTCTCCCATACCTCATAAAATATTTCAAAGTCATCGTCCCCTAAAGGCTCACTGCTTTCTTCGGTGGCCACATTGAAGTTCTCCAAAATGATAGCGATGTACATGTTCACAACAATGAGAAAAGATATTATGATGTAAGTCACGAAGAAGATGATCCCCACTGCAGGGTTCCCACAATCCCCTTTAGAAGATGTTGAAGGAACATTGAGCTTCGGATTACAAAATGGCGGTCCCGTGTTCAAAATGGGGCTGAGGAGCCCATCCCAGCCAGCAGAAGTTGTGATTTGGAAGAGGCAGAGCATGCTGTTCCCGAAAGTCTCAAAGTTAAACATGTCATCAATTCCAGCTTCCCTGACGACGTAGGCGAAGTTGGCCATGCCAAAAATGGCATAAATGAACATCACCAGGAAAAGCAGGAGGCCAATGTTGAACAGAGCAGGGAGAGACATCATCAGGGCGAAAAGGAGGGTCCGGATTCCTCGGGCGGATCGAATGAGCCGAAGGATTCGTCCAATCCGTACTAAACGGATCACCCGGAAAAGTGTGGGCGAGAAATAGACTACAATCCCAGAAAGCACATTACCTGAAAGGGAGACGAAAGGGATCAGTGGGTGTTGACTAACATCTATAAAAGAAGGAAGGAAGGAAGGAAGGAAGGAAGGAAGGAAGGAAGGAAGGAAGGAAGAAAGAAAGAAAGACAGGAAGGAAGGAAGGAAGGAAGGAAGGAAGGAAGGAAGGAAGGAAGGAAGGAAGGAAGGAAGGAAGGAAGGAAGGAAGGAAGGGCAAGCTCTCCATAGTGTTTCCATGGAAATGTTGGTAGAGCATTAATAACACCTGGATACTTTAGAAGTGCAACTTTTAAAACCAAAGCAATTTTCCTTAAAAGACATGTGATGTCTAATAAATCTGTACTGTTAAACTTGTACACTTTTAAAGTCCCTTGATAAGATAATCATCCCTAGACATTTCAAAGAACACAACCCCTGTCAGGGAACACAACGCAAGTGGTCTGAATATGTTCTCCCAGTGAAGGAAGATCATTTTTCTCTACTTTCTTGGCTGATCTCTTGTTTCCAGTGCCTTTGGCCAAAATTTTTTGGCACTACCGGAGCCCTGATCTACTTAAAGCAATGTCTCCTTCAATCTTTCAATTCTCCCAAGCCTTAAGCTAGACAAGCTAAAGCTCATGTCTTTACAGATTGCATTCACTGATTGACTATTTTTTACTTGTCCTATATTTAGCTTTTCTTTTTCTTCTTATTCATAATGTATTTTATTATCTTTATATTGCTGTGAGCCACTTATAGTTGTTCTATGGTCCACCAGGTAAATCATATAAATTAAGTCAACTTTGATTACAGTCACTTCAAGCACAAATCCATATAGGTTCTTTAAAGCAATAGAAATAGTTTGCTACTGCTTTCCTCCAGAATCTATCTATCTATCTATCTATCTATCTATCTATCTATCTATCTATCTATCTATCTATCTATCTATCTATCTATCTATCGTCTATCATCTATCTATCTATCTATCTATCTATCTATCTATCTATCATCTATCTATCGTCTATCGTCTATCATCTATCTATCATCTATCTATATATCTATCAATCTATCTATCTATCTATCATCTATCTATCGTCTATCGTCTATCGTCTATCGTCTATCTATCATCTATCTATCATCTATCTATCTATCTATCTATCTATCATCTATCTATCGTCTATCGTCTATCGTCTATCTATCATCTATCTATCATCTATCTATCTATCTATCTATCTATCATCTATCTATCGTCTATCGTCTATCGTCTATCTATCATCTATCTATCATCTATCTATCTATCTAT